TTAGTAATACTGCTTTCCCCTGTCTCGCAATAATATCAATCAAGAATAAAGTTCTTGTATTGTCTATATTAGGGACTAGAATAGTGTAATATTTTAAGACTTCGTCCGGCGGATAGATGAATTCTGGGACCTTTTCAGACCAATGCATCCACTGGCCATCATCTGACACCAGATATTCAAAGATGGTTTCATCCTCCTGCAACAAACATTATTTCACAGTGTAATTATCTTTGCTTTCATATCAAACAATTCCACGCGTACAATATTACCTTGCATTTTGGCCAATTACATTTTGATTGATGATTAAGTAAGAACTCTTGTAATAAGTTACGTTCATCTAATTCCAATACCGCTCCCAAACTCCACATTAGCGAGAAAAGAAATATCTTCTCAATGTGATACTCCGGCAGTGTTCCTGAATCATACAAATTTCAATTAAATCTGTTTCTCATACATTTTCAGTTCATTCTTCAATTACATAGATTCTCCAAATATTATTATTCCAGGTACTACAACTTAAATAAGAGCAACACTATGTGTGAAAGAAGAATACGTACTAGTCGTATCTTTATTTGTACCAAGCAAACCATCCAACAAATCGATGCACTGCCTTATGTAAAGAGCTTCCAAGAGTTGCATTTTTGCCGGAAGTTTCGTTTGAACAAAGGTATGGGCATCGTCGTAAATTTTATTGAAGAAATTATTCAACACTTCTACTTGTGCTGGCGGTTGTGTTTTAAACCATGCCTTTAAAAACATTTAACATATTAAAACTATATTTAAAAAATACTGAAAAAGATATTTAAGACTGTTCTTAGGTAGAAGGATAATAATAAAATATTAACATTACTTGTAGAATGGGAGTCCATTTTAGTACAGAAGCACTTATGAACACCATTCCCATACGAGATATCGTAGCTGGCGATGCATTATCGACATTGTCCGGTTCGAAGACCAATTTAGTGTTAGATGCCATAATTATACGATCGCCATTCGCTAAAGTCAGTGTCTTATTATCGTCCAGCACGGAGTTCAAGTTCTCGATCCACACGGCATCCACAGGACCGTCCAGGACCATCCATAAATTCTCTGTTTTCTTCGTTTGCGTCGATCTTCTCCATATAATAGAGAAAATCCCATCTGTCCAATCATTCGTCGTTACGTCCAGTCTACCAAACATCTGAGACGCGGTTATGGCCTAAGAACATTGTTACAAATTCCTTATTAAACTTACCATTTTTGTGGGATGTTTCATACGAGTAAAAGAATTTTCATCATAAATCTACAAGTGTTTGTCTAAAATATGTAATCTAATCTGCTTTTGCACGTATTAAACTTATTGAAGATCTTGCTTTGACATTAATGAAAATACTCGTCACAATATGTACATATATAGTGTGAATTAGTAACTAAAATAAAGAACGATGCTGACTTTGGGATTCATTCTAACTTCTTTATGAGGTATGCCCATTTCTGTTAGAGCTTTCATAAGAGCCCACATGCACATAGTTTTTCCGGATCCTGTTGGTCCAAGCACCATCAAGCCGTGGCGGACCAAAGAGGTTTCGTACAACTAAAAATTGTACGATTGTATTGTCTATTATATTGTATTATTATCTCAAATCGTCATCATTCATCATTGAATTATATAAATTTACTTGAACTGCCTTCAAGTTCCATTCTGGATG